TTATCTCCTTCATTAGGAGGTGAGCTCCTGGAGATCAAGGGCTGTCTCAATCTTCTATTTGTATCCTCAGCACTTAGCTGTCGAGAAATGCTTTTTTCATTCATTCATTCATCATTCTTTCACTCATTTATATATTGCAACCTCATTTTACAAATGAAGAAATTGAGGCCTAAGAGAGGTGACTCTCCCAAGGTCACACAAGTAATAACATAAAATAATTGCGAATCATTTACATTCTTAAAGTTAAACAGTGAGAAATAAAGTTTCATATACTTATATGAAAGCATAAGTCTATGTAAGCATACATATACTTACTTATGTATGTGCGAATTCACATGTATATATATATATATATATATATATATATGTAGGTATATATATGTGTGTGTTTTTCTTTTTAGTTTTATATAATCTTGTAGAGGATTAGTACCATCTTTTCTTGTTCTGATTCCTAAAGCAGCAATCACACTTTGGTGTATATATGAAATGAAATTTTAGATAAGGTAAAGCATAGCTCATAAGATTATTGTTGTTGCTTTTAACTAATGCCTCTACATTGCTTTGTGGTCTACAAAGTGCTTTACAACCACATCTCATTCAATCTTTATGGAAGCAGAATGGAATAGTGTTGACTTGGAGACAGGAAGGAGATCTGTGTTCAAATGCTGCCTCAGACAGTTGTTAGCTATGGGACCCTGCACTTAACTAGGTATGTGCCTCTGTTTCCTCATTTGTAAAGGGAGTGGGTTAGACTTAATAGCCTCTAAGTTCACTTCAAGCTTTAAGTATGATCTCATGAACAGTTCTGTGAAGTAGACAGTGTAGCCTTTATCCCTATTTTAAAGATAAAAAAGCTTGTCAGGCTCAGGGCGGTGAGTCAAGCTGCCTAAGACTTAGACAAGACTCAGAGCTAGGTTCTCTGCCTCTGAGTGCCCTCTCTTCTATTTCATCCTGCTTGAATACAGTTCTTTTTACTTGATTTTGTCTAGAAGTCTTTTGAGATATCTTGGTGATAGTCATTTTCTAAGAATTAGTGAATTATGACTGGGAATAAAGGTAATCTTTGAATCAGTTTGCTAGAATACATAGGTCTCAACTGCCTTCTCTTTCTGAATACATAAATTCTTTTTATTCTCTTTTCTATGATTGTTCTCCTTGAGTTTTGCTAACTTAAAATCAAAGAATAATATAATCAAAGAATTATAACCATGAAGTTATTACGATTCAAGTAAATAGTAGCCAAAAGGCAAAATGAATGTGGAGGAAAAGCTATGAGGGAGATAAATGGAGCCCCTATGTAAACAAAATCCAGGTGTATTTCTTATGTTGATCATATAACCACAGCAGGTTAAAATTGCAAGGGCATATATGAGGCACAATCATTATTTTATATGCCCATTTATAAAATACACCAGAAAATAAAAGTTTGATGCACAGTACATAGACAGTTACCATATTGGTTATAAGGAAAAATTACATTGGGAATTCTCTTATTCCTATTAGCTCTAATTAAAGCACTTAAATCCAGGAACACACAAGGCAGACAACCAAAATTTCAAAAATAAATTTATAAAAGCAAATAAAAACAAATACATTACATTTCAAAATGTAGTCTTTTTTAAAAAAATTCTTTTCATCCTGGGCCTAATATATTCTAACAAATTAATTCAAGTAGCTTCTGCTTTATAATCTACTTATAAAAAAAAATCTTTCCTCTGATTTCTTCGGACATTGTCTATTTAACCTTATGGAATTGAAAATTTAAATACTAGATTATGTGGTACTGAGAGTCTTGGCAGCTTTTGAAATTTCCTCCCTAGAGCTTACCAAAACAGTAATCTAGGTTATCTTCCCTAGTCATTTGACTCATCTTCCTCTACTGTATGAAGTCATCCATGGCACATGCTTGCCAGAAACTGTGGTAATCCACACCAGTTTTTGGTCACTTAATGGAAACAGACTTCTAAAGGTAGTTATATAGCTATTCTTCATTTCCAAAGATGCCATTCTGACAGTGATTATGTAGGTGCATCATAGTGAAATCTTCTTTTGATAAACTTACCACTGATGTCTATGGCTGTGATCTTAAATCTACAATTCATTCAAGCCTTCCTAAAAAAAAAAAATCTACCTCTTTCCTGATTCTCTCATTGGTGAGCATTTCCAGGAGCCTCCATTTTGTGGAGGAGCCCAGGCTAGCAAACTGTCATTATCCTCTCATCTCTGCTTCTGACTTTCCAGACTTCAAAACCATGCTTCATTTGATGTTTCACCCTGGAATGTCCCTCAGCACCTGGGCCCTCCTTGTCCTGGAACATCCATGCCCTCTAATATCCTTCCTCTAGGTTGGCCTGCTTCTCCCATTAGTTAGTTCTTCTTGGGGTCTACATTTTGTGAAAGGTCCACAGCTGGCCAACTTCCATTTTCTTTCCAGCTCTGATCTGACATTCTGGACTTGAGAACCATGCCTCTGGATGGCAGAGGCACCCTTTCCTTGCCACAAAGCTACAGGGGTTGATGGATATTCTAGAGTAAGGAAGCTCCAGGCTCTGAGGGAGGCTCTAGAGAGAAAGGCAGCTGAGGCATGTTGTTGAAGTCTGGAAAGTCAGAAACATAGCCAAGAAAAGAATGAAGACTTCCCAGACTAAGCCTCACCTCAAAATAAAGGTCTGAGGAAAAGCTTACCAATGTGAGAAAGGAGAAGAGGGCCACCATGGTCAGTGGCAAAGTGAGAGTATGGGATAGATTTGAAAGATGTTATAGATCAATAGAACTTTGTAACTGATTTTATTGCATAAGAATGTGAGTAAGAAGAAAAGATCAGACAGTGAATGGCACTTTATGAAAATAACCAAGTTTGAAGGAAAAACATGCTTCAGGGGGAAAGATAGTAAGTTCAGTTTTAAACATATTGAGTTTAAGATAATGGTAATATAGGTGACCTTAGCAACCAGAAATGTGGACTTGAAGATAGGGGTTTGGATGTCATATGCACAGAGATGGTAAATGAAGTTATAGAAGTGAATATTATTATCAATGAAAAGAAGGCAGCAAAAGAAGCTCTACCTTCCAACATTCAATGGCAATATTCTGTTATTTCAAGTATTAGATCTGAAATTCACACATAATCCTAAGTCAACTGACAGCCTGTGCATGATTCTATACCTCTGCCATGCAGTAAAGTGCATGAGCTTACTGACAACTATTTTCTCAATGCCTAGAAACCTTTCTGCTTACTTTGAGGTTAAGGGTTGTATTCTACATCACTGAGGCCATCACCATCCACCTCTCAGATAAGTAAGATAATTTTTAGGAGGGGAAGGAGATCTGAACATGCGATTTCATCAGCATGGGGAAGTCTTAGTGTTTAAACTCTTTTCAACAATGCAAATCAGAAGCTTATTTGTAACTTACAGACTTAAGAGTTGCCTCTAAAATGTATAGTCCTGGAGAGTAAGGTGTTATATTGTAGTATAAATTAAATAATCCCTGTTACAATGTGCCTTTCTTGGGGCCAATTATACATGGGGAAACAAGGTGGCCAGAAAGAATGATCTAGTTATTTCAGAGTACTAGAGCTATATGAGATCACCTAGCCCAACTTCTCATCTTATACGTACTTCATTTTCTTCATCTTACTCACCTACAATCAGAGACTTTTGACTTAAAATTATCTGTAAATTACAAGTTAACAAGGGTGTTTAGCTGGTTTTCTCCTTGGTCTTTAGAACAAGAGACCTCAGGATCATAGTGCTAGAGCCAATAGGGACCTCAGAGGTCATCATGAGAAGATTAGAAGGGAAAAATAAGGAGAGTGGGGAGAGATGAAACTGACTCACCGGGAAACGACTATCCAGCACAGTCCCTTGTTAACAGTCGGTGTTCAGCCATTCAGCCCAAAGGCAGGCAGCCCTAAATCCTCAGAGACTAACAGCTAAATATAACCTTGAGTCATCATGGAAAGGTTAAATTATGCTCCATATATTCTGTTTAAGAAGCCAATGAAGTGTGTAATACATTTTAGAAATATTTCATTTTTTAAAAAAAATTAGTTAAAAATTAAAGAAGGCTATAACTCAATTAAATTTAACAAAAAAGTAGCATGTCCCTGTGACGTGTAATGCACTGTACAACGTGGTGGAGCAAGCTTCAGTAACCTGGAAAATTCATTTATGGGGAACATTTTTCCATTCTCCTCCCTTCCCCCTCCCCCGGGATGCTGAATAAACAAGGTATCACTGTAATTGGGAAAACAAGGGAGCATAGCTCACACATGAGGCCTTTAGGGCCTTGAACAGATTCTACGATTTAAGACTGTTGGGATTTCATGACTGCTGACTACCAAGGTTACATAACCTCTGACCCATACACCCCCCCAAAAGAATAAGGCAGAGCTTCAAAGGTTGTAGGGTCACAGGACTCAGAGCTGGAAGAGAATTGAGAGTGCATTGTATTTTCAGGGATACCACTGTCACTGACCTTGTGTTCCTACCAAGTCTTTGGTGTATTCATTGCCTAATACCTTAAGCAGCTTACAGCACAGTCCAAAGAACAAGATTTTCCCCAGGGAAATATACAATACAAGGGAACATAAACCAGTGCCTGTGTGACTACACAGGGAAAACCTCATAGGCAATTATATCCTGCAGAATTATGCTACTTTGCCATCAGAAGGTATCTTCTGGCTCTCTTGCTCTCCCTCTGACCAATATATGGGCTCCAGACTACATAGTAGTCCAAAGGCCTGAGCTCTCTCTGCTTTTATTTGCTGCTACCTTTGGTCAGCTGAGATGGCAAAAGTCTAGTGTCCTTATTAAGTCCTAGGCAACAGTCAATGACTTCCTCCCTCACCCATCAATATCTTTGCTTCCCCAGTTGCTTGGAGAATGACAGGGAACATGGCATTGGAAGCCAGCTTACCCAGGACGGGGAATCTTCAGGAGGAAGAGAAGATGAAAACTGAAGGGTTGATGCTGGAGTTGGATGTGAATCAAACTCACCTGTGTCTCCAGAAATGCAGGAAGTAGTGAAAAAGGGCAAATGAGGAGCTGAGTGTCCAGGGCAGCCCAACAGCCCAAGAGGCTTCAGACCTATAAGTACACACAGACAAAAAAAAAATGCATTTCAATATACATGGGACAACAAAATGTGAGTATTCACCTTTTTCCCCCCAAAAGATTATATTTCATGTTCAATATCAGCTTATACATCCTTCATTGTTATAGTTACAATGATTGGATTTCAATGGTTTTCAATGGTTTTCATTAGAGGTCTCTACCTCTAACATTATTCTAAAAATTTTTATGTCATGCCAGAGGAAAAGATCTCATCTGAAGCTCAATCACTACCAACTATAAAGTGCTTAAAAATATTTTGAAAGTAAAGTAAATGCTTATTTTATCATAAAATATATTTTAAAATATATTTAAAATAAACCAAAATTTATCTTACAATAAAACAAATACATTTAACTATATTTTTGAATTTCAAAATACACTAAATTTTTATTTATAAATATTTATGACTATTCATAACTTTAACTTCATAACTATTTGAACTGAAAGGCACATGGTATAGTAGCTAAAGTCAGCCTCAGAATCAGGGTCTCCTGGGTTCAGGTCCTGTCTTTGACAAATATTGACTCTGGACATGTTCTTTGACCTCTCAGAGTACCAGGCAACTTTCTAAGATAGTACATTACAGAACAATCGATGATGTCCTTTGGTAGAGGCATTTCTTCACTGAAAGTTCCCAACGCCACTGAAACTATGTCCAGAGCAAGAAAAGCCCCAAACAATAGCCATAGAATGTATTAAGAAGAGTAGAAGGAATAAGGCTGTAAAGATAGGTTGGAGGTAGATTGTATAAGGAACTTAAATACATAAGAAAACATATAAGCTTTTTAAGTCGAAAAATCACCCCTCCCAAATCTACTAACCTGTAAAAATTTTCTCCAGAACAAATCTGTTTCCTAGTGCAATCCTCAAAAGCTTCAGTTACATTGCCAATTCAATTCAATTTAATAAACATCAAGCTCTAATAAATGTTGTGTCTCCCAATTAGAACATGAGCTTCTTCGGAGAAGGTGTCTCCCTTCTCTGTATGTACCCCCAGCACTTAGAATTGTGCTTGACACCTAGTAAAGGCTTAACAGGTGATTTTCATTCATTGATTTATTGATTCATTGATTGATTCATTCACCTACTACGCGGAACCACTCTACTAGGCAGTGAAGGAAATATGAATATGGAAATGAACACAGTCCCTCTCCTTAAGGAGCTTACAATCTAACGCAAGAATAAGAGAAGTACATAAATTATTCAAACACAAAAGAGTACAAGTGCATAAATGATTCATAAGCAAAATACTATGAGAGTTCAAAGGAGAATCACAATCACAAACACTCCAACCACTTCCAACCATGACCCAGTTGTTCAACACAACCACTTTTAACAACCACTTTAACTTCAAGACTACTAGGTCCTAAGGAGTCATAAACCCAATACCTTTTCCTACTGACTGAAATAATTTGGGCCCAGAGATGAAGAGGAGGAATATATATGAAGGTTGATTCTAGGTCTAAAAGTGCATAGACACAAAGAAGCCAGGGAAGATTTATATGAATTGATGCAAAGTGAAATAAGCAAAACCAAGAAAAATATTCATAACAATTATAACACATAAAATAAAAAACAAATGATTGAACCTGAATGCTTCAACATATAATGCACTGTACTATGTGTAATGCATTATATAAAATCTAATATGTTATATAAAACATAATGCCTAAGCTTGGACCCAAAGAAGAAATATGAGAAAGTAACTCGTCCTCCCCCACTTCTTTGCAGTGACGGGGGCCTATGGGTTTAGAACACTGTACTCAATGTCAGACTTTTTCCTCCTTTTTTCTCCATTATAGTGGGCAAAGGAGGAATAATACACAGGGATATGCAAATGGTATAAAAGCAGAAGATTTCAAAAAATTATTTTTAAAAAAGGCAAGAATAGCAGGGTCCTAGTAGTAGGCTAAATCTGAAAGGAGTGCCAGTTTTCCAATTTTTACTTTTGTTAAACCATTATACTGGAATTAAGAGAGAACAGGCTGAACTCTCTCCTCCAGTGGGGAAGGGACTGTTTTGTCTACCACTGCAAACATATCCTTCCATATTTTCTCTCAAAGGCAATGACCTTGGCACCAATTTCTATGGGAACAATAGCTTTAACAATACTAGCTTGGTGCTTTTTAAACTTCTGCCTAATTTTATTAGGGGCAGTGCTGGTTTTTTATTCACCTCTGGCAAGGAGGCAAATTTTATGGTGTCAAAAGAGCCTTTAACTAGCCAGAAAAAAATAAGCAAATATCTACCTGTTCCAGGTCTAATAGTAATCAGGGTGACTATAAGGCAATGGATATTAAATATTTATCTGACCTTCTATTACCTAATCTGCCTCTCCCTTCTCTTCTCTTACAGATTACTTTCTATGGGAATCTGTGCTTGTAGAGGACCCAAGAATATGCTTGTTGCAAGGTAAGCCTTGTGCTCTCTTATGTTATAGCTTCCCAAAGTGTAGTAGCAGAAGGATAGACAGCCAACACACCAAAGGGGTAGCATTGGTCAATTAAATTAGGGCCAACAAAACTTTTTAAGGGCATGATGGTTTTGGACAGCCAGCTTCAAGCTATTGCAACCAATGCTAACTCGTCTAACTTTTAAATTTCAGTGTTAAGGGGGGATCTTCCTTTAGTGACATTCTCATCAACAGCTTAACAAACTATAACTCTTAACTTTATGTTCAAGAGACAAGATCAAAGGTCAGAAGCATAATTAACCTTGGGGTTTATTACTGAGCAGCAGCTGCGATTACACTTACTTCTTCTGACCTGCTGATTACCTTTTAACAGCCAGGGAACATTAGAAATGACACAACTTCAACTCCATTAAGACTTGGCACTCCCATAGCAAAGAACTGGAAACAAAGAAGATGCTGTTAAACTGGGGAATGGCTAAACAAATTGTGATAAGGGAATGGAATGGAATATTATTGCTCCATGAGAAAGGACTAATAAGAAGACAACAGGAAAGCATGGGAAAGTACATGAACTAAGGCAATGTGAAGTAACCAGAATTTAGAAGAAAATATACACAGCAACTGAAAAAATGGAAAGCACACACAAAAAAATAGAAAACGAACATTATGTAATTATAATAAACAAGCTGGTCCTCAAAGAAAAAAGAGGAAAATGCACTTGTGGATATGGATGGGGACACTTGGTTGACAGGTTGGTTAGTTATATGAAACTACTCCCATCCCCCACACATACCCTTTTTCTTTTTTCTTCTGTGTTATAAGGGATGGCTCCCTAAATAAAGGTGTAAAAACAAAAGCTGGCAATAAAGATCTTTTTAAATGCAAAAATTAAAAAAAATTACACATGGCACTCTTGTAGACTTCTTCTATTTACTACAGAAATAGCCATGAAATGGAAAAGGGACGGTTGTCACTGAATGTTGTTACTGAATGTTAGTTTGTCTTTTTAGGGTCAGAAATACTATTAATGTATTAAGCTAAAATAGAGTTATCATTCGGATTTGACAATATATGTGAGGGAGGGTGTATTGGTGCCTTCTGTTACAATGTAATACAACAAAAATGTTGTAATATAGGCAAAAGTGTTATTCATCCCTCAGAAGAAAAAAAAAGTCTAATATGATATAGATGAATGAAAAGGACTAGAAACAAAAAGTCCTAAACAACATTCTTAATTAGAAGGCCAGTTGCCCCCATTCTTCTGAATACAATTCTCCCATAATAATGATAATAATTTTAATGATGACTTTAATATACATGTCACTTGGAGATTTTTTAAAGCATAGGATGCTTCCATATCTGTTTTTCAGAATAAAAAAAAATGCAAGAAAGTAACAAAGTAAAAAATGACCAATCTGCAGAAGAGTACTCCAGGGTTGCAAGATAAATTGGAAACAATATTCTATCAAAAGTATTCCCACACATAACTTGGCTGCTGCTTCAATGACAATAATGTCAGTATCTAAACACTAACAGCTGACTGTGACTCAATTACTGTGATTTCTAATATATTGATTCTTCCCAAATTAGATTCTTGTAAATGTAAATGTTTTTGTTGATGGCAGTACTACGTTGACAAGTTTTGCTTTCTGAACTACTATTCACAGGGCCTTTGAACTCTTGGAACAAAAATGCAGAATACAAGAATTGAATGGATTGAACCATCCTCAATAATCACAATAATTCACCACCCTTGTTGGTGAAGGAAAACTTCTAGACATGGAATGTCTACTTTTCCCTAGGTACTTTAAGTTCCTAACAATCCCCCCAAATACACAGGAAGTTTTGTTCAGTCATTTTTTCAGTCACATCCAACTCTTTGTGACCCCACTTGGGGTTTTCTTGGCAAAGATACTGGAGTGTTTTGTCATTTCCTTCTCCAGTTCATTTTACAGATAAGGAAACTGAGGCAAACAGAGTGAAGTGACTTGCTCAGGGTCACACAGCTAATAAATGTCTCAGACCAGATTTGAATTCAGGGAGATGAGTCTTCCTGACTCCAGACCTGGCAATCTATCCACTGTGCCACCTAGCTGCCTACAAACAAGAAGTTACTCCTAACTTATAACCTGATCCTAACCCACAACTAACACTGCTTTCCTCATGAGGCTCCAATGTACAAACTATAATTAAATACACTCCTCATTCAGTGAACAAGTATATGCTGGTCACCTACCACGTGTAAGTTATGTGGTATATGGCATGTGTAGTTTGAATAATGAGAAAGAAATGCACATAGACTTTGAAAAACCAAACCCTTTGGCTCACTAGTTTCCTGAGACATTAATCACAAATAAGGAAGTGCAGGAAAAGAGAAGCTGGGTGGAGTCAATGAAAAGAATTGACCTACCCTCCTACACACAGTACAGGAGCAACATAAAGCCAAATCTATGCCAAATAGGACCGAATTACAGTTATGGAATTTTCTAGTTGGGAGATAAGGTGAAGAATTGAAATCCATGGAAAATGCCCTAAAATAGAAGAAACTTCTACACCACCCAAACTTTTACCAGGGTAGCAAAACTGATGAATGTGGTTTCCCTCCCTTCCTCCAAAGCAGATCCTTCCATAAAACAAAATAACCAGAGTGCAGGTAGCGAGAGAAGAAATAAACAGGAGGCAGAGAGGTAGGTAATAGACAAATCAGATTAATGTCCCTTGAATAACACAGAACTGGCCTGGCTTGCTTATTTATATTTATCATCTGAGCGCTTAGCACAGTGCCCAGCAAACAGTAGGTACTTAATAAATGCTCTATCTTTGTCTGTCCTTCCTGTCTTTCGGTCTTTTTTTGTCTCTCTCTTCCCCTCTTTGTCTACCTCTCCCCCTCTCAAGCTATCCATTATGTCACCTTAAGATTCTTCCAATACATTTTACTCAGGAAAGTTCCAGACCGCAATAATATGTCAATATATAAAAACTGAACATAAAAATGGACATTTGAACAATTCAGATACAGGCAAAACTGTGCTACAAGAAGGAAAAATATCATAAAATTTTCTAGAAAATGAAAGCTTTCCAAATCCAAGCCTATTATGACAGTTTCCTTTGGTATTCTGAGTGACCTGTAATTTCATGAATATAGGTATTCTCTCCACTGATGTGAATTGCAACAGTGCCTGACAAGCCTTCTCATCCTGGGCTGCTTGGTTTTTTAGTGGAGGGGTGGGGTGTTGAAGTTGGGAGGGGGTAGGTTTCACACACACTAATTCAACCAATATTCATTACAAGAAGATCTTCCTAAAAGTAATTTGGGTAATCTCTTAGAATTCCCTGTAATGGGATCAGACCTCTTCCACACAATTTTTTAAGATGTAAAATTTTATATATTCATGAATCTGTAGTAGCTTCTCTCTAACATCTCTAGAGTAGACTGTAACATTGTAATACTATAATATAGTCCTGTTCTTAAGAAATGCATTACAAATACTGCTACAGTATGTAATCACTGCTATACCCATCTACATGGGCACTTTCCAAATTTCTAAATTTAAACTGTCTGCAATTGAAGGGAAAATCTCTAACTTTAATCCCAGCCCCAAATGAAAAGTAAACACAGACAGGCAGCTTCCTTGCAGAGTGAATCTGGGGAGGGAACAGAGCCTTCTGCTAGTTCTAGTAACACCAAAAACCTCGGGAGGAGCTTTCACTCAAGCAGCTTGGTGATTATTATTTAGTGCTTCCCGCATGTGTACAAGGTGCCACAAATACAGAGAGCTGTTTGAAAACAAATCCCACAGTTTGTGCTCAGAGGAACTGGTGATCAAGAGAACTCTGAAAGGAAGACTACAAACGGGGATAGTGAAGATTACAGGCTGAGCTTTTTAATGATGGATTTTGTGTAATGTTTATCTGTGTTGGGCGTGTTTCCTTTTCAAAGGAATACAGGTGAAGATTTAATTCAATTATGAATTAAGAAAACTCCCAAGTAAGAGTGCAAACTGCGTGGACAAGATTATAGGCTGGCCCTTTTTGTGAGTTTTATGTCTGTGTCTGCTGTTGGGTGTGTTTCTTTTCTTTTAAAGGGCATGAAGGTAAAGATTTAATTCCATCATGAATTACATGAAAGAAGGGTAGATCCACAAAAATCCTATATAGCAACATTCCTATACAGCACAAAGACCAGGAAAGTGATAACAAAAGAAATGTCACTAAAAATAACTATAAAATCCATAAAATATTTCAGAATTAAGCTGCCAGAATATTCTTAATATTTATGTAAATACAACTTTGAAACACTGTATAAAAATTAAGGAAGACACATAACTAGAGATAATTCAATGCTTGTGAATATGTGGGTGGTGCCAATTGAATACAAATGGCAATATTGCCTACACTGAGAGATTTATTACTATATAAATCAAATTACCAAGAATATACTTTTTAGAATCAGATGATATAATAACGAAATTCATTTGGAGGAACAACAGGTCTAGAATCCCATGGTAAAGAAGTGGGGGGGGGAGAATGTAGGAGTGACAGGGATGTAGCATCACCAGACATAAGCTATAATCAACAAAGCTATTTGTTATTGATTAAAACAGAAAAAACCTTCATAAAGCAAATTACATAAGTATGAACTAAAAGAAATCAAAAGTAGTAGATTAGTGTTGATAAACCTCCAAAATAAACTGCTAGGGAAAGATTTCTCTTTTTGACCAACCTCTCCCCCAGAAATAAAACAAAACCCAAAAAGCAACTGCTAGTAAAGGGGAAAAGCAGTCTGGCAGAAATCAGAGTGGTGCCAGCTTTTTACATCATTTTATACAATAAGCTCACAATGACTGTCACCTAAATATAAAAGATCATTTCATTAAAAAAGAAAAAAAGACAGCAGAAGGAGGTAATTTTCACCACTATGGATGGGACAAAGTTGCCCAAACAAAGTTGTTAAGATAATAAATCTGAAGTTAAGGGGACCTTTGATTTCATCTAGGCCAACCCCCTTCTTGTAGACTACATGAAATAATTCCAATTACATAAAATTAAATTGATTTTGCCTAAACAAAGTCAGTGTAGATAGAAGAAAAGAAACTGTCAAATGAAAGGAAAAAAAACCCTTTTGGATCAACTATTAATGACAAAAGCCTAATAGCCAGTGTATAAAGCACTTGACACAAAAAAATAAAACCAAGAGTCATTCCCCCATGGATGTGGATAAAAGTACATAAACAGTTTTCAAAAGAAGAATTACAAATTATTAAGGATTATATGAAATCATACTCCAAATCACTAATAAGGAATTTCAAATGAAAATCATTAGGTTCTTTTTTTTCATCCTAAAGATGTCAAAGATGACAAAAAATGGAAATAGTCATACTGGAGGGGCTGTGAAAAGCCAGGCGTTATCAACATATTGTTGGTGGATTTTCCCATGTGTTCTGGGTAACAATTTAAAATTATACTTTAAAAAATGACTAGGGTATCCACATCCTTTGACCCAATGATCTATTAATGTGCACATACCCTAAGGAAATCAAGGACAGAAATAAAATTTTAATATATACCAAATGTTCATAGCAGGACTCTTTTGTGGTAGAAGCAAACTGGAAGCAAAATGAGTACTCATGTATTAAGGACTGACTGAACAAATTGTGGTATTTAATAGCATATTATTCATCAAGAATGTAAGGAACTAAGAGAAACATGGAAAGATTTATATGAACTAAGGCATATGCATAAAAAATGTGGTATTAAAAGCAATCACAATGTTCTAAAATATATTTTAGAAAATGAATAAGAAGGAGGGCTCAGGATTACTTGTGAACATAGACATCTACACTGTTTCTTAA